GCAGAAGCAACTGAAGGAAAAAAGTAATTAGGTAAATTGGACTTGCTCAAGATGAAAACATCTTGTGGTTCAAAGAATGGCCATGAAATATGCGAATCTCATGTCCAATAAGTCTGATATTCATAATAAAGAACACTTACAATTCAACAATACAAAGACAAATAACCCAATTTAAAAAATGGGCAGATGATTTGAACAAACATTTGTCCAAAAAAGAGATATAAGTGGCCCATAAACACATGAAAAGATGCTCAACATCAACAGTCACTAGAAAAATGCAAATCAAAACCACGATAAGGTGTCACTTTGTATCCACTAGGAGGGCCATCATCAAAAAGACAGAAATAACAAGAGTCGACCAGGCTATGGAGAAATTAGAATCCTCATAAATTGCTAATAAAAATGCAAAGATGGTGCAGCCACTTTGGAAAACAGTCTTGCAGTTTCTCAAATGTTAAGCCCAAAGTTAACATATAACAATTCCACTTTTTGGTATTTATTCAAGACTGTTGAAATATATTCCCACAAACTTGGACACAAATGCACATACCAGCATTGATCATACAGCCAAAAGGTGAAAACAACACAAATGTCTATCAACTAATGCATAGATAAATAAAATACTGTACATTTATACAATGAAATATTATTTACTCATAAAAAGAAAGTAAGTACTAATGTTTTCCAGGCTCACAAATGAAGCCAGTGAAAGGTCACATTTTTCGGTGAAAGGCTTCTTTCACTTTCTGCTCAGTGAAAGAAGCCATACAGAAAGGCCACATATTATGTGATCTCACTTACATGAAATGTTCAGAATAAGAAAATCCACAGAGTCTGAAGTGGATTAGTGACTGCCTGGGTATGGGAGGAGTAGAGAATGAGGATGGACCCCTAAAGGCTATGGAGTTTCCTTTTGGCGCACTGAAAGTGTTCTGGAATTAGTGAAGATACTTGTGCAACCATGTGAATAAATATACTGAAAGACGCTGAATTGCACACTTTTAAAAAGTAAATTTTATGCAATGCAAATTATATTTCAATTTAAAAAATTAGTAGCATAGACCCAGGGTGCTTTAGATGATGGGAAGGCGAAAGTGGTCAGACCAGGGGACCACTGGAGCTGGGCTGGAGCGAGGGCTCCACCCCCTTTCCCTGCAACTTTGCCCCGAGAGCTGCCGCCTCCCCATCATGAGCCCTGTGACTGAGCACAACAAAACCATCATTTCTGGCAAATAGAAGTCCTATGGCCTGGGAAGCTCATTCCTCCATGCAATGTTAAAGGGAGTTTACTTTTGTTTTTGAGTTTTCACTTCCTCTTGGAGAAGAGAGGCAGGAACTGTTGACAAGTCTGGAAATTAGAAATGTCAATGACAAAAGGAGTCCCCAGGGAGTGCCTGGGTATCCAGCCTCCCCAGCTCAATCACTTTGTGCCAGGGAGGCTCCTGGCTCAGGGACTCAGCAGCAAAACTGGCTGAAACTATTTCCCATCCATTTCTCAGACAAGGGAAGCTACTATGGGAGTGATGCCACAAGGAAACAGAATAGAACATCCCTACATGCATAACACTAGGCATTGTGGCAGGACAGCGCCAGTTTCCATTACCTCTGCATCAAACGCAGCACCAGTTCAGGCAGTGGTTTTGACCTTGATTGGCAGGTAGTTACGGTGTAGTGCTGACAGCCAGCCAGGAATTGATGGAATGGGCTGGCTCTGTTTATGGGGAAGTAGGGCAAATCCTGCAGGTACCCCCTGGGCAGTGGCAGACAGTGTGTGTGCCCAGAGAGCAGGTGCAGGCACCTTCATCTCACAGGGCTGCAGAGAAGCTGAGTGGCTCAGTCAAGGTGATAAAGTTTATTGTTAACAGATCAAGTGCTAGAAGCCAATGACCTGTCTCCGGATTTATGGTTACTCCCTTACTTCACCCTTCTTCTCAAATGAAAGATGCAACCACCATGGATTCTAACCCCAGCCAACACCTGGCCTTTGGCCATGTCTCTCTCCAGACAGAATTTTTCTTTCTTCCTCCTCCTTTTCTTCTTCCTCTTCTTCTCCCGTTCCTCCTCCTTTCTCTCTCCTCCCCTTCCTCCTTCTATTTTTCTCCTTTCTCCTCTTTCTCCCCCTCCTTTTTCTTCTCCTCTTCCTCCTCCTGCTTCTTGTCCTTATCCTTCCCCTCCTCCTCTTTTACTTTCTACTTCTTCTCCTTCTCCCCTCCTCCTTCTTTTCTTCTTCTCCTCCTTCTCCTCTTCCTCCTCCTTCTCCTGCATCTTGTCCTTATCCTTCCCTTCCTTTTTTACTTTTGGCTTCTTCTCCTCCCCCCCCTCCTTCTTGTTCTCCTCCTCCTCCTCCTTCTTCTCTTTCTGTAACCATTCAGTGGGTTCACCTTGCCTGCATCTAGACAGAGCCTATATCTCAACATAGAGAAGTTGCAGTAGAGAAAAAGTAATTCATGCAGAGCCAGCTGTGCAGAAGACATGAGTTTTATTACTACTCAAATCAGTCTTCCTGAGCATCTTGGAGAGAATGTTTAAGAACTACTTGGTGAGTGTGGGGAGCCAGTGAGCCGGGGAGCCAGGAGTGCTTATTGGTCAGAGATGAAATCATAGGTTGGAGCTGTCTTCTTGGGCTAAGTTAGTTCCTGGGTGAGAACCACAAGATCAGATGAGCCATTTCATTTATCTGGGTGGTGCCAGCTGATCCCTCAAGTTTAAGGTCTGAAAAATATATCTCAAGCATTGATCTCGGAGGTAGTTTAGGGAGGGTGAGAATCTTGCAGCCTCCAGCTGCATGACTCCTAAACCATCATTTCTAATCCTGTGGCTAATGTCAGACTAGTCCCCAGGCAAGAAGGAGGTCTGCTTCGGGAAGGGGCTGTTATCGTCTTTATTTTAAACTATGAAGTTTGTCCCGAAGTTAGTTCAGCCTATGCCCAGAAATGAGCAAGGACAGCTTAGAGGTTAGAAGCAAGATGGAGTCGGTTAAGTTAGATCTCTTTCACTGTCTCAGTTACAGTTTTGCAAAGGCAGTCTCAGTTCTCTTTCTCCTCCTCCTTCACTTCCTCTTCTCTCTCTTTCACTCTTTTCCTCCCTCTCTCCCTTTCTTTTCTGACTGCATCAAGTATAATTCGCCAATGTGCATAGTAAAGAGAATGGAGCAGTGATTTCCAAAGCTGAGCATCAGAGTCACTTGGAGGGCTTGTGAAGAGAGATGGCTGGGCTGCAACTCCAGAGAGCCTGACTCAGCAGGTCTTGGGTGGAGCCGAGAATTTGCATTTCTAATCATTTCCCAGGTGGCAAGACTGCTGGCTCAGGGATCACACTTTAAGAACCCTGCTCTGGAGTAGAAGAGACCCACTGCCCAGCCTGCAGACAGGACCCCTCCTCTCCCATTTTACACAGGCGAACACCTCACTCATTTTTATAAGTTTCCAGAAAATGAAATTCTTCAGGCAAGTAATTGTTATATCGTAATAATGTATTAAACACTTACGAGATGTCAAGTGAACTAAGTTCCATAGTCAGGAAGGTTTTCTGATTCCAGGTCCCTGTATGGCAAGTGCAACTCATCGATGGCTAAGAAGCAGCCTCCCTTTGCCTCTCAGTGCTGACAGCAAGGCTCAGGCGTGGCTGAGGCTAGAGATACTGAGTGATGGAAGTGATATAATTGTCCTCCACCGACTTCTCAGCCACAGTCAGTGCTGGGAGCATTTGTTTAAGGATTTGGGTTGACTTGCTTCCAAAGTGTCCACAGAAACCAGCATTGTGGCCGTGCACATCTAGACAGGAATCTAGATATCATGTCACCTCTCTTTAAGCAGTAACATCCACCTTCCTCTTGGTTTTCTGCTACAGTCCTTCAACAGCCCCTGTCTACAGTGTCACAGCTTCTGCAAAGCCTTCCCAACACCCAAAGGAGGGTCAGGCATGGTGGCTTACTTCTCTAATTCCAGCACTTTGGGAGGCCAAGGGGGCAGATCACGAGGTTTAGAGATGGAGACCATCCTGGCCAACATGGTGAAACCCCGTCTCTACTAAAAATACACAAACGAGCTGGGCATGGTGGCACGTGCTTGTAGTTCCAGCTACTCGGGAGGCTGAGGCAGGAGAATCACTTGTACCCAGGGGGCAGAGGTTGCAGTGAGCCAAGATCATGCCACTGCACTCCAGCCTGGGCAACACTGTGAGACTCATTCTCAAAAAACCAAAAACTACCCAGAAGGAGAGGGGCCCATTCCCTCTTCTGTGTCCACACGGCACGACCCCCTTTTGATATGTCTACAGAGAGGAAAGCAAGTCAATGTCAGCTCTTGGAGGATTCGTACAGACTTAGTATGATGACTTCATCTGATAGGATGGAAAACTTAGGCCCAAGGGGGTAAATAGAATGTTAAGGTCACCTGCACTGATGTTTATCACAGGACCGTTCACAACAGCAAAGACATGGAATCAAGCCAGGTGCCCATCAGTAGGGGGCTGGATAAGAAAATGTGGTATATATACACCATGGAATACTACGCAGCCATCAACAAGAATGAAATCATGGTCTGCTTTTGTTTTTGCAGCGAGATGGATGCAGCTGGAAGCCATTATCCTAAGTGAATTAATGCAAACAGAAAACCGAATACCACATGTTCTCACTTATAAGCAGAAGTTCAACATGGGGTACACATAAACATAAGGACGGGTACAACAGAGACTGTGACCTCCTGGGTGGGAAGAGAGGGAAGAAGGGTGAAAACTCTACCTATTGGGTACTATGTTCACTGCTTGGGTGATGGAATCGTTACAAAACCAAACCTCAGCATCACACGACGCACCCACGTCACAAACCCGAACATGTTTTCGCCTCCCCTGGATCTGCGACTTCCCTCTAAGCGTCTCCCACATGTTGAGTATTGAGTCATCAATGGATTGTTGCCATGGTAGAGATGATGGTTCAGAGAAAAGAGCATCAACACGGAGTTAGGAGACTGGAGCGGAGTCTCCATCTTTAAAGACATTACCTACTCAATGCGTCCAGGAACAAGTTGCCTGACTCTTCTGAGCCTCAGTTTCACTGGTGTAGGAAGTGAAGGTTGAAGGCAATAGCTTCCAAGGTCGTCTCCTCTATACCTAAAAGAAAATAAGAGGATCTGGTGGTATGTGGTACATCGCCAATGATACCAGCACCTGAAGGCCAGGAGTACCCGCCTTGAGAACTGACCTCCTGCTACCCAGACTCTGTGTTCTGCCCGTTGGGTTCTGAAAAGAAGGAAGTACTGAAAAGCCCAGGAACTGGGTCAGGAAGTCTGGTGGCTCCAGGCAGTGACAGCTTCATGGTCCAGTGAACTCACGAAATGCAGTGTAATTTCCTCTTCCATTTACCCATCAGCGGCACGGAAGGAGAGCCTCTCTGCTGCCCTCGTCTCCCTGCCTTCGTTAGTCATGACTCATTAATTGCCACCGGCGAATGAGTATTCTTCCAATTTTCCAAATCTAATTCGGAGATGTTTTCAGCTAAAGATCAGGATATAGGTTTTTGGCTCAGCTAATGAAATATCTAATGAACTTGCATTAGTGACAATCACAGACAGGATACCCAGAAGAGAAGGGCCAATCACAGCCCTCAGCTGATGCCACTTGCTAATGGCTCCTTTAAGGACAAAAGCACAGCTCCTGAGATCCTATCCCTAACTGACAATGCCATTCAGGAGACAGGGGCCAGAAGAAGGGAACTGAAGAAGAAGTATTTACCTTTCCTTTATCTTTTTTTGTGCTGTGGCTCTGCCTTCAGACCGACAGCCAGTAGTGAGAGGGGCCTTTCAAACGAAAAATGGCGTCCTCAGAATAGGATCCATTTATAAACTTGGATATAAATGAGATTATCTTAATCTCAACAAACAAGCAAGCCAAAACACCTGGACCCTAGAAGAATGAATCACCAGGGAAGGCAGATGATTTTCCTAATCAGAAAAGAGTCTCAGGCAAATGATCACTACGGAAAGTCAGTGAGCACTTAAACTAGTTTTGGGACCTGCTCATGCCTGTAACCCCAGCAATTTGGGAGGCCAAGGAGGGAGGAGCATTTGAAGTTAGGAATTCAAGAGCAATCTGGCCAACATAGCAAGACCCTGTCTCTAAAACAGGAAAGAAAAAATGTAGCCGGTCACGGCGGCACACACCTGCAGTCCCAGCTACACAGGGCAAGCCTTGCCTTAAACAAATAAATAAATAGTTTAATTAAACAAAACATAGTCTTGGAATTCTTACTCTGCCCCCATGCAAAAGAGGATGTGAGTCTCGGAGACTCTTCTTTTGCCCCCACACTGCTCGTTCCTTGTTTTGTAAGGTGCAAATCTCAGCTGAAATTGGCAAAACCTAGAGACAGAAAAGTCGCTAGAACCACAGAGCTAGATCAGTCGGCATCGACAATTTTTATGATCTCTGGGAACTGAAGAAGAAGCATTTACCTTTCCTTTATCTCCGTTAGTGCTGCGGCTCTGCCTTCAGACCAACAGCCAGAAGTGAGAGTGTGCCTTTCAAACGTAAAAATGGCATCCTCAAAATAGCATCCATTTATAAACTTGGATATAAGTGAGATGATCTTAATCTCAACAAACAAACAAGCAAGCCAAAACACCTGGACCTTAGAATAATGACTCACCAGGGAGAGCTGATTACCCTTTATCTGCTTTCCTGAAGCCGTTTGTCCAATCAGCGTCGAAGACAAGGTCCAAGCCAGTGAAGGCCGAGAAAGAAAACTAAAAAAAAAAGAAAACAACTATGGCCGGGTGCAGTGGCTCACGCCTGTAATCCCAGCACTTTGGGAGGCCGAGGAGGGTGGATCACAAGGTCAAGAGATCGAGACCATCCTGGTCAACATGGTGAAACCACGTCTCTACTAAAAATACAAAAATTAGCTGGGCACGGTGGCGTGTGCCTGTAATCCCAGCTACTCGGGAGGCTGAGGCAGGAGAATTGCCTGAACCCAGGAGGGGGAGGTTGCGGTGAGCCGAGATCGTGCCATTGCACTCCAGCCTGGGTAACAAGAGCAAAACTCTGTCTCAAAAAAAAAAAACTACCTTCCTTCTGTTCCCAAGCAGATAGCTGTAATTGTACATGCTGACTTTATCTCATGTAAAATGTAGATTTAATAAGTGGGAGACAAATGCATGATTGACTTTCACCCCTCTCCCTTCTTTTCACTTGTAAAATGTAGGTTCACCGAATGCTAATCAAAACAAGAATGGGGAGCAAGCAAACCTGATAGACATTTACAGAACTCTCCACCCCAAATCCACAGAATATACATTCTTCTAAGCACCACATCACACCTACTCTAAAATTGACCACATGATTGGAAGTAAAGCACTGCTCAGCAAATGCAAAACAACTGAAATCATAACAAACAGCCTCTCAGACCATAGTGCAATCAAGTTAGAACTCAGAATTCAGAAACCAACCCAGAACCGCACAGCTTCATGGAAACTGAACAACTGGCTCTTGAATGTTGACTGGGTAAACAATGAAATGAAGGCAGAAATAAAGAAGTTCTTCGAAACCAATGAAAACGAAGACACAACATGCCAGAATCTCTGGGACACATTTAAAGCAGTCTCTAGAGGAAAGTATATAGCAATAAGTGCCCACATGAGGAGAATGGAGAGATCCAAAATTGACTCCCTATCGACAAAATTGAAAGAGCTAGAGGAGCAAGATGAAAAAAACTCAAAACCCAGCAGAAGACAAGAAATAACTAAGATCAGAGCTGAACTGAAAAAGATTGAGACATGAAAAACCCTTCAAAAAATCAATAAATCCAAGAGCTGGTTTTTTGAAAAGATCAACAAAATAGACAGACCACTAGCCAGATTGATTAAAAAGAAAAGAGAGAACAACCAAATAGATGCAATAAAAAATGATAAACGGGAAATCACCACAGATTCCACCGAAATTCAAACCATCATCAGAGAATATTACAGATGACTCTATGCACATAAACTAGTAAACCTGGAAGAAATGGATAAATTCCTGGACTCCTGTGTCCTCCCAAGCCTAAACCAGGAGGAAGCTGAAACTATGAATAGACCAATAACAAGGTCAGAAGTCGAGGCAGCAATTAAGAGCCTACCACACAAAAAAAGCCCAGGTCCAGACGGGTTCACAGCCGAATTCTACCAGACACACAAAGAGGAGCTGGTACCATTCCTTCTGAAACTATTCCAAAGAATCCAAAAAGAGGGAATCCTTCCCAAATCATTTTATGAAACCAATATCATCCTGACACCAAACCCGGCAGAGACCCAACAAGAAAAGAAAACTTCGGGTCAATATCCATGATGAACATAGATGCAAAAATCTTCAATAAAATATTGGCAAGCCGATTGCAACAGCAAATCAAAAAACTTATTCATCATGATCAAGTAGGATTCATCCCGGGGATGCAAGGCTGGTTCAACATACGCAAGTCTATAAACATAATTCACCACATAAACAGAACCAAAAACAAAAACCACATGATTATCTCAATTGACGCAGAGAAGGCATTTGACAAAATTCAACAGCCCTTTATGCTAAAAACCCTCAATAAACTCGGTATCGATGGAACGTAAATCAAAGCAATAAAAGCTATTTATGACAAACCAACAGCCAATATCATACTGAATGGGCAAAAACTGGAAGCATTCCCTTTGAAATCCGGCACTAGACAAGGATGCCCTCTTTCACCACTCCTATTCAATATAGTACTGGAAGTTCTAGCCAGCACAATCAGGCAAGAAAAAGAAATAAAGGGTATGCAAATAGGAAAGGAGGAAGTCAAATTGTCTCTATTTGTAGATGACATGATAGTATATCTAGAAGACCCCATCGTCTCAGCCCAAAATCTCCTGAAACTGATAAGCAACTTCAGCAAAGTGTCAGGATACAATATCCATGTGCAAAAATCACGAGCATTCCTATACACCAATAACAGACTTAAAGAGAGCCAAATCAAGAACAAACTGCCATTCACAATTGCTACAAAAAAAAAAAAATACCTTGGAATTCAAGTCACAAGGAACGTAAGGGACCTCTTCAAGGAGAACTACAAACCACTGCTCAACGAAATCAGAGAGGACACAAACAGATGGAGAAACATTCCATGTTCATGGTTAGGAATAATTAATATCGTGAAAATGGCTATACTGCCCAAAGTAATTTACAGAATCAACGCTATCCCCATCAAGCTACCATTGACTTTCTTCACAGAACTGGAAAAAAACCACCATGAACTTCATATGGAACCAAAAGAGAGCCCGCATAGCCAAGTCAATTCTAAGCAAAAAGAACACAGCGGGGGGCATCACACTACCGGATTTCAAACTATACTACAAGGCTACAGTAATCAAAACAGCATGGTACTGGTACCAAAACAGAGGCACCAGAGGCAACACAACATATCTACAACTATACAATCTTTGATAAACCTGACAAAAACAAGCAATGGGGAAAGGATTCCCTGTTTAATAAATGGTGTTGGGAAAACTGGCTAGCCATGTGCAGAAAGCAGAAACTGGACCCCTTCCTGACACCTTACACTAAAATTAACTCCAGATGGATTAAAGATTTAAACATAAGACCTGGCACCATAAAAACCCTAGAAGGAAATCTAGGCAAAACTATCCAGGACATAGGAGTAGGCAAGGACTTCATGAACAAAACACCAAAAGCATTGGCAACAAAAGCCAAAATAGACAAATGGGACCTAATGAAACTCCACAGCTTCTGCACAGCAAAAGAAACAGTCACTAGAGTGAATCGGCAACCAACAGAATGGGAAAAAATTTTTGCAGTTTACCCGTCTGACAAAGGGCTGATATCCAGAATTTACAAAGAACTCAAACAGATTTACAGGAAAAAAACAAACAAGCCCATTCAAAAGTGGGCAAAGGGTATGAATAGACACTTTAAGAAAGAAGACATATATGAGGCCAACAATCATATGAAAAAATGCTCATCGTCACTGGTCATCAGAGAGATGCAAATCAAAACCACATTGAGATACCATCTCACGCCAGTTAGAATGGTGATCATTAAAAAATCTGGAGACAACAGATGCTGGAGAGGATGTGGAGAAAAAGGAACACTTTTACACTGTTGGTGGGAGTGTAAATTAGTTCAAGCATTGTGGAAGACAGTGTGGCAATTCCTCAAGGCCTTAGAAATAGAAATTCCATTCGACCCAGCAATCCCATTACTGGGTATATATCTAAAAGACTGTAAATTGTTCTACTATAAGGACACATGTACACGAATGTTCATTGCAGCACTGTTTACAATAGCAAAGACCTGGAATCAACCAAAATGCCCATTGATAATAGACTGGATTTAAAAAATGTGGCACATATACACCACGGAATATTATGCAGCAATCAGAAATGATGAGTTTGTGTCGTTTGTAGGGACATGGATGAATCTGGAGAACATCATCCTCAGCAAACTGACACAAGAACAGAAAATGAAACACCGCATATTCTCACTCATAGGCAGGTGATGAAAAATGAGAACACATGGACACAGGGAGGGGAGTACTAAACACTGGGGTCTATTGGGGGGAAAAGGGGAGGGCCAGTGGGAGAGGGAGGTGGGGAGGGATAGCCTGGGGAGAAATGCCAAATGTGGGTGAAGGGGAGAAAGGAAGCAAAACACACTGCCATGTGTATACCTACGCAACTGTCTTGCATGCTCTGCTCATGTACCCCAAAACCTAAAATGCAATACAAAATTTAAAAAAAAACAAGAATGGGACCACTCAGTTCATCGCCTATCATCCCTTCCTCCTCTTTTGTCTCTTTCCTTCATGCTTACTCTTTCCCCTTTAAATATTCAAGATCCCATAACGCCCTTTGGAAACAGCACAGGCCACAGATCCTACTTAACTTGTGTTTCTTTTTCACAGGCACATCCTAAACCTTAGCAAAATAAACCTCTAAATCGATTGAGATCTGACTCGTCACTTTTTAGTTTACAAGGTGTAGGCTGTAGAAAAAGAAAAAGCTGCCCCCAAATGAGCTGAATGTGCACCAACCTCCCTGTTACCTGGTTGTTCCCATCTCCCTATATAAGCCCAAAGTTGTAGGGAAACAAATGGGGCATCCCCCATGTGCAGGCCATAGCCCCCAAATTAAATGCAGCCACCGTTTTTCAGTATGACAGCTGGAGGGGGTTTTGCCTCTTTTTCTTCCTCCTTACTCTCCATCCTTCTTCTTCTTTCCCTTCCCTTGGATGTCAGATCACCTCTACTGACCGCCTTGAATCTTTTTTTTTTTTTTTTGAGATGGAGTTTCGCTGTTGTTACCCAGGCTGGAGTGCAATGGCATGATCTCGGCTCACCACAACCTCCGCCTCCTGGGTTCAGGCAATTCTCCTGCCTCAGCCTCCTGAGCAGCTGGGATTACAGGCATGTGCCACCATGCCCAGCTAATTTTTTGTATTTTTAGTAGAGACGGGGTTTCACCATGTTGACCAGGATGGTCTTGATCTCTTGACCTCGTGATCCACCCGCCTCAGTCTCCCAAAGTGCTGGGATTAACTGGCCCTCTTACTGGACATTCTTTTCTGTGTGAAGGTGAAACCTGCTTTCTTTAATTTCCTATTAGCTTCCTAATCATTTTCTTGGGGAGTGCCTGGTTTGGGCCAGTTCTTCTCGGGGGTTCGATGGCCTTGTACCTTAGCTAGTGTTTCCTGTGTAATGTTGGTTGCTTTGCTGTGGTCAGAGAAG